ACATGCAGTCCACTGAATTAATCTTTTAAACCGGCTCAAAACTCCCTTTAAATCATGTTGCACAGGCTGACATCTATATACTCTACGCGATGCATGTGTCTCACAGCACCACGACTGTGAATGGAGTGTTTTTCCAACATGCCACATGCTGAGAGCTACATTATACGACCTATAGTAGTGAGTCACATATTCTTTTAAGTATGCACAATATTTCTCTACTCAAATTTTTTATTTATAAACCACGTATATTCTCTACGAGAGATAATTCTGTTCGAGTTGAGAATATTCACATCATGGTAGGACTAACTCTTCTAAAGGAAATTTTTTACATTTACAAAGACTTTAACTCAAGACCTTGTTTAAACAATCAAGTATGTATCGCTTGAACCAAACTCTTTTGATTTTTCTCTGCTCAAATTCCATGTCACTCAAACATTGACTTGAAGGTCCTTTATAAGAGTTTATCATCCCTTGTATGCCAGAATAATGATAATTTTGGCTGCTCAAATGCCGGCCAACATGGAAAAGGAACGATCACAAACAATGTGCTGCCATGACATTCTAACAAACTTGTTGCTACGCCAAGAAAGCTAGGAGGTCGTTAACAGTAATTCACATCCTCCTCTATGACTAAATCATAAAAAAAAAAACACAAACAACATTAAATAATAAGATGAAGGTTAGAATATAAGGGTATAGAGAAAACAAACTTTAAATTTTTTTGCAAGAAAAAACACAGACTAGAAAAATAATCCAGAACTAAAAAGGTATATTTGAAAAGAAAAAAAAGTAAACTTAAAAATTAAAAGATTTAAAAAAAAAAAGTAATCATGAACTGCAATTTATATTTTAAAGATGCTTTTACATAAACAAATATAAAAGATATATGATATTTTTTTGCCAAAGATTGTTTTTAATTAAGCACATACATATTTCTATATTACATATAAAATATTAAGATCTTCTCCGACAAAAAGAATATAATAATAATGTATGAAAAAGAGTATAATAATAATAACAAATATATAGTTTACCAAAAAAATGAAAAATAATAACAAATATATTTGATACGGTGATTTAATAAATACAATTGTATATGTTAATATAAGTTCGGTTCGATTTAATCGAATTTTAATCCAATAATTTTTTTTAATTTTAAATTTTTATTCAAAATCTACTATTTGTACTGAATGGAATCGATCAACTTGTAAATTTGGGTAGTTTAGCTTACGCTTCCATTTTTATTCAAATTCGTAATCATTGTAGTGGCGTAAAAATGGCAACGAGTTTGCAGAGCAAGACAAACTTAATTGGTTTATTTTTTTGGGAATCGTGTTCTCATTTTCAGGAAGAAGAATAAAAACCAAATAATTATTTACAAAATAAAAAACAATTAACGTTAACAACTGTAATAGGCGCAATTTAAACTCCATGCAAAATGACAATCTCAATCTCATTGAATCAATTATCTTTATCTTATGTCTATCTGCTAGGTAGAGCTCTAGGGATACTGCATTCTTGTTGCAGTCACTGTTGATTGAAATATATGTTTTTGTCTTATATGATAATTCCATTACACACAAAGACAAAAGTACAACAATTATTCTATTGCGTCTAGTGAATATAATATACAATTGAGCATGGAAAATAGCACTACCACTGCCACCCCCTCCTCCCTATTGATTGTTAAGATTGAAAATTTTACTTTAATAATCTCAACAGGAGAGAATTATACTTTAAAAAGCCAACATTATTTACAAGATTAGCTCACTCTTTCTTTGGCTAAGTTGGCCATTTGAGCGCCACATTAGGACCATAAAAAGACAAAAAAAAATCATGATAGGATCAAGCTTTTCCCTACTAAATTAAAATAGTTAAATGCAATTTTATTCCTTTTTTACTTGAAATCTTCTTCCATAATTACGTGCCAGGATGTCTAACACACATAACGGTTTAATCAAGCGCACAAAATCTTATTTCTTCTATGGTCTTGTCGTTTCTTTTGTTAGATTATGTGGAAAGAAGTGGTGAAACATGCAGCAAGATAAAGGACAAAGATTCAACATATGCAGGGATCTCCATCTCATCTTTTCTAGACATCATGATGAGAGAAAACAATTCTTGGTATTTTCTTTTTCCATCCTAAGACTTCTATTCGTATACACTTTAAGATTTAGGGTTGGCCACGTAATTGAAGATATCATAAGATAATATATATGTATATAGACACACTCTCCAAAGATAAAACAATATATATCGTGTGGGTGAGCTTGCGAGAATGGATTCCATTCGTTGGTTTTGTTTCTTTTCTTGTTTTGAGTTTTATTAAGACAAACAAAAATTGACTACTAGAAAAAGATGGAAGTATATGCCAGTAGTATGTTAAGCAAAGAACGTATAGATATGGTAAACCGTATCCATGCAAAATCATAAAATATCTAATCTTCAAGGATTTATTATGTTTTTCTTTAGTTCATTAGCCTGGATTACAAAATAAGAAATGATTCAGTTCAATTTGAAGAAAAAAAAATATTGCACTTTTCTATACTCTGTTTTTTTTATATGTGGATAAGATCTATTCAAGCCTTTATACTCACCGTTTAATTAACATGTTAACAATTTTGAATTACATATCCATTTATGTATGTCCTAATTTTTTTGCTTGATTTCCAACTATTCCAAAATTTTGTATGCTGATATATTATAAGTGTTTCTGTTCTGCCACTTTATACATTAGAAAAGGAAGAGAATGTCTTCAATTTACAACCAACTAATACCTATCTTCATCCTCTTTGGCTGCGGATGAGTTTGTTTACTAAGTAATCTTCGTTCATATTTCTCGATTTAGCCACACTCCTTTGTATGATGCAATTCAATGAAAATTTACTAAAAAAAATGTTACCCAATTAAGATATTGCAGTAGGTCGACCAGAGAGATGATGAAGAGCTGGAGTGATTTAACCCTGCACTATGTTTACTCTATTATTACTCTTCAAACTACAGAGTTCAGATTCTATCACTCTAGCGCTTTTTCATCGATTGATGAGGATTCAATAATGCATCGAAAGATAATTGTTCGTAATTATGGGAGTCTAGTATCTGAAGTAAGGAAGTGAGGTGGCAGTGTGCTTAAATGGCAGAGTAATAATAAAAAATTATTAGTTTAAGTGATAAGGAGTCTGTTTCATGATATATCGAGTTTGAATTCTAAAAATGGAAAAAATATTGTTAAAAAAACCGCCTCAATATGAATTTGACTGTGCTGGAATTTAAACCACAATAAATAAAAAACGACAGATCAACAAGAAGAAAGAATATATGTTAAATAGAGGAGGAACTCTTTTATTCTGGTACAAGAATAAAAATTTTACTCTCTATTATTAATTTCTAATCATCTCACAATTATAATTTATTAAGAATTAAAATTAATATATAAATATAATTTAATAAATTATTATTATCACTATTATTAGTAGCTCAGAGATCAACAATTAAGATGATAAATAAAATTTCTTATTCTGGCACCACCAGAGTCAAAATAAATCCTTCACCAATTAAATATAGGAAACATGATAGATGACAGAGAGAAGAAAGAGAATACACCTGGCTGCTAAAGAGAAAGTGAGAGACAGAGACCAAACGTGACACCATTGACAAAATACTGATGTGGCAAGAGTTATGTTGATTGGGCAGCTGAGATGTCAACATTACAACCTGCATTTCAACTTATATATATATATATATATATATATATATATATATATATAGGGTTAGGATCATTTTACACCAGTGTAAGTTACACTCTTAATCTTGTCCACTGATCCATTTATATCTAAGGGCTCAAATTTTTTAGTAATGTGAGCCATTGGATACAAGTGGATCAATGGTCAAGATTGAGTGTAAAACTTCTAACTCTTACACCAGTGTAAGAATATCCTGCCCCATATATATATATATATATATATATATATATATCAATGGATTGGACTAAATCATACAAGGTTGAAAGATGAAGACTTTGGACTATAAGCGATACTTTGTGGGCTTGAGACGATCACTGTGTATGAGAAAGTTGAAGAATACTGTTGGCGCACGGGGAATGAATAGCGGTACCTGCAATGAAACTCCGACGCTCAAGTCAGTATCAGTGCTAGATTTATGTTATATTTAGTGGGAATCAGATGATCATACTTGGGTTTGTACCCTTCATATTTATAGCATGTTTTATGCCGCCTTTGGTTGACGGCATGCATTCTTATTGGTTGTTGTGGGCTGCAGATTTTTTTGTCTTAGCTGGTATCTTTCTGGCTATAAGTCTATATGTTTGTCTGTCTTCCTAGAGTGGTGGCAAGCTTGAGCTGTCTCACGAGTGTTGGTCTTCATGCGCGGTGTGACTCAGTTTGTTGCAGAGTCTTTCCTTAGCCTTTAAGTTACATAAGGCGGCATAATCTGCGCAATGCCTGTCTGCGTGATGCCTGGCTAATGCATCTTGCGTTATGAGGCTATTGCGCTTCTTGGGCCCTTTTTCTGGGCTTGGACCTTATGGGCCTATGTAATTATCCATATCATATATATAGGCTCTTTGACCACATTGGGACTTTTTTCGTTTAAATTTACCAATTCAGTATCTGAATGGTTGAAATTACGAGTTGGGGTCTTCAAGTGCCGGGAGATGGGGCCAGCGTATCTAAATGACGCCCCCTCACCCATGCGGCACTCTTGTAATTGTATTTTTTTGTTTCTCTCTGCTAACTCAGTATCGCGGATTCTCCGCATCGGCACTCAATATATTTTCATTTTAAACAAGTGCCGCCCTCACCCCCCATCGACACTAATTTATCAATTTTTTTAACCCCAATCTATGAATCCTGTTTACTTCTCCGAATGAAAAATAAAAAAAATGAAAACTGATTTGTTCGAATGAAATTGGAGGCAGACAGGGAGCTAATCTCTGTTTTCTTCTTTCCAATCTACAATTTCGTGGAGCTGGAGACAGCTAGGGGCAGAGGCGCGACCAAATCGGAGGACAAGAACCTTATCAATGGTGTCTCTGATTATGGAATGAACCTCTAATTTCTTAGACAAACGTAGCAGGTAACTCATTCTCTTTGACTACAATTTATGGATCAATGGGTTTAGTGTTATCTTTCACAGATGTGATAAGCAAAATCTGTCTCAGTTATTTGTTAGGTTTAGTGCACTACAGTTATTTCCATACATATCTACTAAAAAATGAAGTCATGTTCATTTAGCTGTTATATTCCAGTCTCTGATGTGGCTGAAAGTTCATTTTCAGATTTAAAAAAGAAGAAGAAGAAACATGTAAGTCATTTGACATAATTTTTTTTGTGGTTATATTAAAATGAATTTTTTCTCTTTCAATTGGTTAAGCATTTGATTTAGCTAGTTTTTTTGTTAGAAGCAATTTAACATCTGATGTTTGATGTTGATTGTAGGTTGAAATTAGTAACTTAAATGATGAGGGTGGACATGCAATTGAAGATTTGGATGGTAACCAGTCGGTTGAATGCATAAAAGTTATATGTTCGAACTTTTAAAGGAAGAGCTTTTTGTTCTACAAATAATGTCTTTATGGAAGTTAATTGGATGCTGAAGATTTGATAAATTCTTTGTTTAGATCACAATGAAGAAGATGAAGAAGATGATGTTTCCTTGCAGCACCGTTATCGTTGGTGATGTATCTTATGGTTATTTGCATCTAAATTTTTGTCTCTCCATGCTTATTTATTCAAGTAAGTTTTGTAAAAAAAAAAATCATGAATTATATATGGTTGTGCAGGCTGACAGTGATAAGCTTGGGGATTCTGATTCTCCTATTTTACGATCAAGTGAAGAGGAAATGGAACATTCACTACTTGGGACGTGTTCTGGATTCATACTGGAGAGTTCCTCATATTCCTTCCCCTCCTACAGCTTGGAGACAATGTTTTATAACTTGGAGACAATGTTTTTTTATTTGTTAGGTTGCAATGATGCTAAGTGCTCCCCTCTTACAGAGAAGTTTAAAAGGCTTTCCAGTTAAGTTTGGTCTTGTAGCATTGTGTTTTTAAAAGGGAAGTTTTTTATTGAAGTTATAAAGCTATTAAAAAAAAGTGATATTATAATGTCTTTTTAACAGGGACTATGAAAGCTCTCACCCCAAAAATCTTGTCTTAAAAGTTAATATTTATAAATCTGGACCATGCCTATGATAGTAATGTGCAAACTAAGCGAAAAAGTTAAAATGTAATACTAACAATATACCATTTCGGCTTTGCATGTTTTGCAGCACACACAGGGGTTCCTTTTCAGCTGTGCACCTATCGTATCTAAATGAACAAATTTCTTTTCAACTGTTAAAAATAATTAATATATTCTATCAAAAATTAAAAAAACAAATAGTACTAACTCTGGCATAGAACCCATGATTGTTAACAACATTAATAATTCGTAGTAAAGTGCAAGGGAAGACATAAACTGTTAAATCAATTACCGTTGGGATAATGAGGAAAGAGGACCGTTCAAAAAATCAATTACTGCCGCTGGGGGGTCTAGGCGGCTCTCTCTCCAGAAAAAAAACAAAACAGAAAACGTTAAATGAGTGTCGCAGGAGTAGGCGTGCGTCATCTAGAGCCGTGGGGATCCCCCTCCGAAACTTAAAGACCCCAAAGACTAATATCTCAAAATCAAATACCAAATTCATAAATTTAAATAAAAAAAACTCCATACACGTCAAACACCCCATATATATATATATAAATATATATATATATATATAAAAGAAAAGTTATATATTTATAATATATAATAAGTTAAACTCAATATATTTATAATATTCCGCCAATCAATAGTTATAATTTGTTACGAATTACTAATTAATTAATAAGTTTGACCCAATAAATTATAACCGTCGATTAACGGAAATCAACAATTTGAATTTGGTGTCGAACTTTTTAGTTTGATACCAGTGTCAAAAGATCTTATCCGTATTGGCGTCAAACTAAAAAGTTTGACATCAAATCTTAACCGTGGACTTTTGTCAATCTAACGGTTATAAATTATTCAGAATTAATATTGAATTAATAAATGTGACCAAATAAATTATAACCGTTAAATTAATGAAATCAGCGGTTAAGATTTGGTGTCACACTTTTTAGTTTGACATCAGTACTCAGTACAAATTATAACCGTTAAATTCACGATCTCGTACTCAGTACACTTTTATTATTTTTACGTCCGGTGCACTTGCCGAATTCGCAACAACAACTAAGACTATACTAGACCTTAAGTTTTAATGGATTAAGATTATGATGTACTTCAAATCAAATTACATGTCCAAGAATTAGATCAATCATTTTTAGCTCTAAGAAGCTATAGGTTTGCTGCTTATATAATCTTTGATTATGGAAGGCAATAAGTAATTTACTGATTATACAATGTTTATACAATGAATTTAGTGAGAATGTCAAAGTTGTATATAGACATATAGTGACCCACATGTTTCTACACCAATAATTACGCCAAGTTGATGATAAGGTATGATCGCAAACAAAAAGGATTTTTAGTTTGTTTGAGGACATGAAAATATATTTTCTACTAAGATTCAATGTTGTTTTATCTGCTTATTTGAAAGGGTGCTCAATTAGACACATGTTTAATTATGGGTTAATCGACGTCAACATGATGGTGGCATGTTTAAGCTACGTGTAAATGCACTACATATTTCTTTGTTAATTAATAGGCAGCTAAACTAGTTTGTCTGATTTTAAAACAACTAATAGGAAATTAACAATTATGTCAATTTTTTTTTGTTATAAACCATCTGATTTTCGACCACCAACTAGCAGCGAATAATTGAGATTTGAGTTAAATAGGAGCGCAACATTAAGTCAAAATATCTGTTGATTCACATGTTTAATGGTATTATAGTAAGTTTTAAATTACTTCATGTGGATGTCACTTTTGTTTGTGGTTTGGGCGGTTTTTGTTTACAAGGATAAAAGTCGGAAGTACTTTTCAGGATGACTGGATAAGTGCAAATGAACAACATAAGTAATAAAGCATATTTCAGGTCTTAAAATGTTATTAATTTTCATTGTTGTTTTCTTTCTCTTGTCCAACTTTAACTGAAGAGAGTCTTTGTTAACTAACACGTGTATTACACATGTTATGTGATTAGTTAGTTAGACCCTTCCCTTATACACGTGTACTGTAATTAGTCTGTTAGTGAATCGGTTCTAAGTTTGTTAATTAGTTAGTGTTTTTCTTGCTTGACTTGGACCAGTATATATATTGTGATGTAGCTCTTAATGAAAATTGTATCGATTCATTTTTCCTTTCTTCTGAAACATGAGGTTCATGCCTATACTTCATTCGCTTCCGTATTCTATTATGGTATCAGAGCCCTTCACGGAGCTCTGATATTCGCCTTCGTTCTCTTTGATTTTCTTCTGGCCTGTTTTTCCTTTTGAGATCCTGTTTAATAACGGCGAATTAGAGTTCCGTATATGCAATGGAACCTGTAGCAGATGCTACTCTTGCCAATGGCGATTCTACACGAACATGCAATGGAACCAGTGCAAGCTTGTTCGATCTATTAGATCCAGGTAGTCCTTATTTTTTACATCCGAGTGAAAATCCATCACTCGTTTTGGTTTCCTCTCCTCTGAATGGAAAAAATTATCACGGCTGGGCAAGGGCGATGACTATGGCCTTAGTCTCGAAGAACAAATTGTCGTTTGTGAATGGGAAGATCTTGGCTCCAGATCCATCAGATTCACGTTTTCCAGGTTGGGAGAGATGCAACACCATGGTTCTGTCATGGTTGCATCGTTCAATCACAAGCTCCATCTCTCAGTCGATACTGTGGATGGAAAGAGCATATGATGTGTGGAGAGATTTGAAGGAGAGATTCTCGCAGTCAGATATATTTAGAATATCAGATCTGCAAGAGGACATATATCGAATGCATCAAGGAGATAGTTCGATTTCAGATTATTTTACTCAGCTTAAGATCCTTTGGGACGAGTTGGAAGCATTGCAACCAACACCTACATGCAAATGTGTAAATCCGTGTTGTTCTATTGGATTGGAGGTAAAGAACATCAGAGAAAGGGACTATTCCATTAGGTTTCTTAAAGGCCTCAGTGAACAATATTCACATGTGAGGTCACAGATCATGCTTATGGATCCACTACCTTCAATTAATCGAGTCTTTTCTCTTGTTGTTCAACAAGAGAGACAGCTACAGATGGAAGCTGTTATTCCTAATCAAGATACCTCAAAGGTATTCATGAATTCTGTTGAACGAGCTCCTGATAGAGGACATTTGCAATTTCGCGGCAGAGGACGCGGTCTCTCTGGTGGACGTGGTTTTTCTGGTGGACGTGGCAGAGTATCAAGGCTTTGCACTTACTGTGGGAAGACTAGTCATACTGTGGAAACATGCTTTGAAAAGCATGGATATCCACCTGGTTATAGGCAAAGAAATGTTGCACACAAGGCCAATGCAGCTATAGGTGAACCTACTGATCAGATTGGTGATATTTCACAGGTTGAGACAAAGGAAAACTTCACCAAAAACCAGTATCAGACAATAATGGAGATGATTCAACAGTCATTGCAGTTTCAACAGAACCAGCCAACTTCCTCTCATGTGAGCAACATGGTGCAGACTAAAGCTCTTAATGCTGATAGTGGATCCTCTACAACAAGTAAGTCAGAAAATCAGTGGATCCTGGACACGGGAGCCACTGATCATATTACATTCTGTTTTGAGATTTTGTTGTCTCCTAAACAAATTGAGCCAATAGCTATTTCCCTTCCTAATGGAGATCGGGTACTCTCATATGTTTCTGGTACAGTAGTGATTTCGAGATCACTTATTTTGACTAATGTCCTGTATGTTAAGGACTTTGGAGTAAATCTCATATCAGTAAACAAATTGATATTTGAATCTAACTGTAGTGTGACATTTCAGCATCAAACTTGTTCCATTCAACGTCTACAATCCATGGAGACGATTGGTTCTGCTAGTTTGGTGCAAGGCTTATATGTGATTACTCAGAAAGACAAACCAGGACATGAAGATGCAAGTAAAGACACTGTAATAAGGCAGAATTTTACTGATAGTCATAGTTATACAATAAAGGCCCATACCATTGATGTTTGGCATTCACGTTTGGGGCACTGTTCCAAACCTGTATTAGAAACAATGATGTTGCAATTTCCTTTCATTACATGTAAGAATGTAGATAATCCATGTGATATTTGCCACATGGCAAAACAGAAGAAACTTCCATTTACTTTGAGTACCAATATATCGAGTAATGCTTTTGATCTTATACATGTTGATATTTGGGGGCCGTATTCCATACCATCAATTCATGGACATCATTTTCTCTTAACAATTGTTGATGACTGTACCCGATTCACATGGGGAATTCTCATGAAATCAAAGTCTGAGGTGAGGGATCATATTCGTGGTTTTATCTCTTTAATTGAAAACCAATTTCATAAGACAATCAAAGCCCTTCGTAGTGACAATGGGCAAGAATTTTTAATGACTGAATTCTTCACACACAAAGGAATCATTCATCAAACCAGCTGTGTGGAATCACCACAGCAGAATGGAATAGTTGAAAGAAAACATCAGCACTTGCTTAACATAGCCAGAGCACTTCTTTTCCAAGGGAAACTTCCAAAGAGTTTATGGTCATATTGTATCATTCATGCTATACACCTTGTTAATCGTCTCAGTTCACCAAAGTTACATAACAAGTCACCATATCATTTGCTCTACAATTCACCACCAATTCTTATCCATCTCAAGGTTTTTGGTTGCCTTGCATTTGCATCTACTATTACATCTGGACGATCAAAGTTTGATTCTCGGGCACGCAAATGTGTGTACATTGGTCACAAGGATGGTACTAAGGGGTATGTTCTATATGATCTGTTTTCTAAACAAATTCTTATTTCCAGAAATGTCGTCTTTTATGAACAACATTTTCCTTTTGATGCTGAGCCCTCAAACGTGCATGCCAATCCCTGGCCTCTAGGGAATGAAGCTAG